TTCTAAAATTCAGATTTTTGTGTCACATCCTGGTCCTTGAGAAAGCCAGCCAGAGTAATCAAACACAGATCCACAGATTTATGTTTCACTTCGGTGACGCTTCCCATCTGTAATGTAACAGAGTTGATGCAATCCACTGTAAAAGTGACAAAAGCAAACAAAGTTATTTTATTGCAGTGATTAATTTGACCTATATATAGAAAATGTTACATTTACATCACATCATGGATCAGTCAGCAGCAGCATCTGATCAATATGTGATCCATGAAGGGATGTAAATGTAATGTTTTCTATAGATAAAATTAATCACTGCAATAAAATAATTCTGTTTTATTTTCTGTTGATTTTTACCCTGAATGAACACTAGAGGGCAGTGGTTATTTTAAATTTATGGGAGCATTACAAACAATTATGACTAGACAAACAATAAAATGCAAAGCAAATTAGCAACGGCTAAAGCTAGCAGTAGCATAGCAGTGTCTAGGGCTCGTCCTGCAGAAATGACCTTATATAACAATACAGAGAGAAGTGTAAAGTTTTCTTATTAGTTTACTCATAAACTGCTTTTTGAGATTTAGACCTGTTTTAAGATTATGGTATATTTGGTCTAATTTTTCACTCAGATTAACCACTAGCTTGTCACTTGTCAATAAAACAATCTCTCTGGAGCAATGCTGCAGGGATATACTATTTATTAAAAAATAATGATTTGATACAGCACTAAAAGCTGTGGTACATTTTATAAATTARTCTTCTAATGAACTGCTMTGGAAATTTTGACACTATTTGTTTTAGAACTAAATTCTCCTAATCTGCTCAGATTAGCCATTAGCTTCTCAGTTGCCTACTGCTGTATGATGTACTTCCTGCAGGAACATCATAATATTTAGGTTAAAATAACAATTTAAGACACAACAGTAGGAGCAGTCAAAAGTTTTATAAATTATTATTCTCGTGAAACACTTTTAAAAATGTTGAGATTAGACTTGTTTTTCACTCAGATTAACCATTAGCTTGTCCGCCGTCAGCAGAACTAACAAGCTTTCTAAAAAAAAAAGCATTGAAAGCAGTGTTAAATTAAAAAAATTTGTATTCTCATGAACTGTTTTGAAAGCTGTAAAATTATCCAACAGTCCATTTTGGTTGTTTTGTCTGAGATTAGCTGTTAGCTTGTCAGTAGCATAATGCTGTTTGATGCATTTCCCATAGCAATATCTTGATATTTATGCAAAAATAACTAATTAACACAACACTGATAGGAGTGTAAAGTTTTACAAATTAATATTCTCATGAACTGCTTTGAAAATAATGAGATTGGAGTTGTTTTTAGGATGACAATGGTTCGCTTTAGTCTTGTTTTTTGCTCAGATTAGCTATTAGCTTGTCTGTCATCAGTAGAATGAGCTGTCTTTGGTGTTTCCTGCAGAAATATACTATTTGTGAAAAATAGTTATTTTAAAAAAGTATTAGAGTTTGTTTTTCACATTAACACTATCTGTCGTCTTTTTGCATTATGTTTGTCTTTGTTTATTCCAGGTTTAAGCGATTTACTGATGAACCAGGCTGACAAATTCACAGCAGAAGAGGTTGGTTTGTTTTCACTTTTACACAGAAAGGAACTTCATCAGTCAAATTTTCACTTCATGATCTTGTAGGTGGATCAGGCTTTCACTGTCGCACCGATCGACCCACTGGGCAACATCGACTACAAGCAGCTCTGCTMCATCATCACACGGAGATGAGAAGGAAGAGTCCTGAAATTCAGCTAAACACATTCAAGACTGTTTCAAATCTGCAGCCTTTATATGGCTAAATAAATAGTGACATTTCCGGTCACACAAAAAATTGCAAAGATTTCTGCTGAATGTGAGAACTGGATTATTCATTGTTAATGTGAATAAAGTTTTGGACTCATGAAAGGAGCAGGATTACAGTTTGTTGTTTTAATATTTAATTGTAAGGTTTGCAGAGGTGCACTTTATTGCCAAAAGTATTGTCACCTGCCTTGACTCACATATGAGCTTAAGGTACATCCCATTCCTAATCCATAGGGTTCAACATGATGTTGGTCCACCCTTTGCAGCTAGAACAACTTCAACTGTTTTGGGAAGGCCGAGCAAAGACTTTTGGCAATATAGTGTAGCTGCATGCATTATTTTGTTCTCAGCTTCATGTCATCCATCCCCTTATGGCACAGGCAAAAATACATTTTGCTCCCTCTTGGCATAAAAAAGTACACTATATTGCCAAAAGCTTTTGCTCACCCATCCAAATGACAGTGCATCAGTGCACAAAGCAAGGTCCATAAAGTTAACTATAATTTTTCCACCCAAAAACTGGATTAAAATCATTTTTTAAATTAAATCTACTATTATTTAGTTGAGCTAAAAAGAACAAATCAAACTTCAGTTTTATATTGTTTAGTTCTTCCTTTGCTCTAAATGAAGTACTGAATGTACTTAACTAAGTTAGTTATTTGTGAAATCTTCAGTAAAAACATTTTCATGTCTGTGTAAATTCAGGAAACTTACACCAACTTCATGGACAATTGAAACTGAACAAGACCAGACTACACTCAATATAAAGTCTATACATTATAAATTGTACATAGAGATGTCTCCACCAATTATGGGAGGAGGTAATAACAAAAAAAATGTTTCCCAGTAATTTCTAATATCTAAAAATATAAAAATAATAATAATAATTTAAAAAAGTATGACATGCCAGTCCAGTAGGTGGCGGTAGTGCACCTTACCCTAACAACCACACGAGATTGTGGCGTTGACGTCTTGCTTGCTCTTGGCATACAGTTATTATTACTCTTATATGGATGTCAGACGAGCTTAAACTGTTAAAATACTTTTCAATCTAAGGCCTTGAATTTTAAGAAGATGCAGGATGATGCGCGGTATCTTAAACGGTGAGCAACCTGTTGTATAATTATATTGTGTGGGGTGGATTTCAAAAGCTGACTGCGTCGACCACCACTCTCAACGACAAGTTTGTGCAATTTAAGGTTTACACACTCCTTAGAAGACTGATGCTTCAATTGTAGCATTAATTATTACCTAATTTAAACCATAATTAGCTGCTTGTTCATTCGGCATAAGTAAAAATATTTTAGGAGCTGCTCAAAATACACCACTGTTATTTTCATGTTAGCGTTGCTTAGCTGTTTTAAATCAGTAATGGTTCAATTTGCTTCTCTGGGATTTTTTTTCAACTTTAACATTAAACAAATTTATAACAATCAATAAAGTCTTCTTTTTACTTCTGGTTACTTAAAACGACATAGATCTGTTCAGAGAAATGAGGGGGTCCTGGAATATCTATAATGCTAGCCTAGCTAGCTAAAAGTAGCGTTTAGTAATTAGCTAATAGTTAGCAAGCTAATAATCGGTACTATTCATAACCATATCGTTTATTATAGCAGCTTGGGTGATGACTTTGACCTGTTGTTTTTATTAAATTGGCATTTTCTGATGCTCGTTGCAGTCGTGTATGTTTCTGGGCGTGTCCCCCTCTGTGTTTATTATGGTTCTTTTGATACATAAATGAAAACAACAAAAATATTTGTAATTCCTACTACTAGCTGTAATAATAATATGTTGGTAACCGTAAGTTAATTGTATTAGTAATGATCAGCTATTATTGTTTCTCATAGCAAAGTGACTGCAGGCAGTTTGGATGTCCACCCCACAGAGAAGGCCTTGGTGGTCCACTATGAGGTGGAGGCTTCCATCCTGGGGGAGAATGGAGGTCCTATGCTGGGGGAACGCAAAGAGGGACAGAAAATGTGAGTCTTCTTCTGTTTTTCTGCCTACAGCACATGCTCATTTTTAGTCTTGTTGGGTTTATCCTGTTTCCTTTTAATTGAAATCCTGGTGGCAGGAATTGTATGAATGCTGATAACAAAAGTCAGAACTTTGACAATTTAAATAATCAAAACTGGGTTGCTTGGATGCTATATTAAGTTTATCCAATGGTACGATATACTATTAAGTGCAATTTGGAACAAATGAAAAGCTGGTTTTGCAGCCTTATTATAGAGATTTTTTTTTCCAGAATAGGTAGTACCACTTTTTTAGCAGTCATAGTTTTTACTAAACTAGTAATGATGAACAAAGTCAGCTTGCATGTTGTGCATCATCCTTTGCTCTTTTCTTTTCTTTCCCCACGTCCAGTATTCGTGTGAAAAGCCTGTCCCCGACTACAGATGTGGCCGCTTTGGCCAGGAAAGTGGTGGAGGAGTGTAAACTCATCCCTTCCTCCCGTTTGCCCCAGGTGGAGCAGCTCCTCTACTACTTGCAGAACAGGAAATCTTCTCCAGTGGAAGGCAAAGGTGATAAATATAGTCATTATCTATAGATTCCACTCTAATTCCTGACATTCACTTCTTAATATTATGCATGCTAGTGCATTAAGTTTGAACTAACGACATGTAGGCATTGTTTAACTCTGATGTAAAACAGACTGTAAATATCAGATAAATTAAAAAGTGTATGGGTTAGTTGTGAAAATGCCATTGTTAATGCAGTTTTGTAATCTTCAGTGGAAAAGAAAGAGAAAAAAGCAGTAAGGCCCAGAGACCTGACACCATTTGAGGGAATGGAGGTAACAATACACTACATGTCTTTCTTCCCATCTCATCATTTGTTGAGTCACTTTTACTCAAACAACATCGCTTTGTTACCTTTGTCGTTTAAAAAGAAGTATTCAAAATGTTTGCTGATATCCTGTTAATGTGTTACTAAATAAAAAGTGTGATTGCTAAAATGAAAATACTTTTTAATGAACCGTTTTCGTGGGGTTATTTTTTTATTTGTTTGTTTTGTTTATTTTTGACTCTGGTGCAGCTGAACGAAGAGTCTAATATAACTAAAATGGATGAGTATGTTGAGCTGCTCTACGAAGGCATTCCAGAGAAGATCAGAGGCGCTGCTCTCATTTTGCAGCTCGCTCGCAACCCCGATAACCTGGAGGAGCTGCTGCACAACGGTACATTTCCCCTCCACCTGCTCGGGCGCTGCACACTTAACTCAGCACTTATTTTAAGATACTGAATGAAAATGGAACGTGATAGCACAGTGTTTATTTATCTTGTTATAGAATCTCCTGTGCATTTCGTCATTGTGAAAACTCCACGTGTGTTTGTATCTATAGAAGCAGCTTTAGGGGCTCTGGCTCGAGTGCTGAGGGAGGACTGGAAACAAAGCGTGGAGCTGGCCGCCATCATCATTTATATCTTCTTCTGCTTTTCCAGGTAACACTTACTTTACTGTAAATACACCCACAGTGTCATCACCGCAGTGCCTCAGCTTTTTAACCCTTCACCTCCAGTTTCTCTCAGTTTCATGGAGTGGTGAGTCATTATAAAATCGGCGCATTGTGTATGGGCGTGGTGGAACATGAGCTGAAACGCTACGATGTTTGGCGTGAGGAGCTGCGCAAGAAAAACAAGGCTTATATCCTTGAGCTGCTGTTCTTTGCCTCTTTAGTTGGGGATAGTTGTTTTTTTTTTTTTTTATTTAATTTTTTTTCTCTGTTGTACCTGATTTACTCTGAAAGTTTCCCCTAACAGTCTTCTGTGCACGTGAGTCGGCACCAGAAAATGGCTCATTAAGAAGAGATCAGGACAAAGCTTTGAGGAAATACCAAGGCCTTCTGGCCAAGCAGGAGCAGCTGCTCAGAGGTGAGAAAGTGTTAGAAGCTTTTTTATCATCAGTGTGGCAGCATTCTTGCTTATCAAGGATTTTTCTCATCAAGTGTTTTATCTTTGACATAATCATTTTTTTCTAATCTTCTTCTTGTTAACTAAAAACAAATCTATAGCTTTTATTTCTTATTTTTTCTTCTTCCAGTTTCTCTTTACCTGCTGCTGAATCTGGCTGAGGACACGAGGACAGAGCTGAAGATGAGGAATAAAAACATTGTTGGACTGCTGGTCAAAGTTCTTGAACGAGAGGATGAGGAGCTGCTGGTCCTTGTTGTTTCCTTCCTCAAAAAGCTGTCCATCTTCCTGGAGAACAAGAACGACATGGTGAATGGAGAATTTACTCCTTATCGATCATGATTTATCCGTCTTGTTATATGTGTTTCACCTGAATTCATTGTCACTTTGCTGTGGTTGGTTTGTGTTTCTGTGACCTGCAGGCTGAACTGGACACTGTGGAGAAATTGGCGCGCCTCATTCCCTGTGAGCATGAGGACTTGTTAAATCTGACTCTGCGTCTGCTGCTCAACCTCTCCTTTGACTCCGGACTCAGAGCCAAGATGGTGGAAGTTGGGCTGTTACCTAAACTGACAGCGCTGTTGGGTACACAATTCACTCACAAACAGGAACACATGCTCCATTCATGGCACAGCAACRCCACCAGGAAGCTGACATTTATGTGTTTTTATGACTTGATACTTAATTAGTGAATGTGTTTATTCAATATTCACACTATTTTTTGCCATATTTGTTTCACTCTAGTATCTTCTGCATAATTTTTGAGTTGAGCTATTTGTATATCGGAAAGTAGGGCTGCCACAAACGATTATTATTATAATCGATTAATCACCGATTATTTTTTTCGATTAGTCGACCAATCAAATCATACGTTAATTGAATATAAAACATAGAGCTTATCGTGCCAGAATGCAGCTGCTATTATATAACCATGATTAGATTTTAGCTATATGCTAACTAAAAATAATTGCTGTGGAAGGCAAGTTCTGCCTTGCAGATATTACACAGGTTTCTCTTTCATTTTCTTAAAATGATCCCACACTTTTCAGCTCTGTCGTCAGGTAGCCATGATACCAGAGCCTAAAGAGTAAAGAACAAAAAAAAAAAACGATTAATCGATCATTAAATTAGTCATCGATTATTTTAATAATCGATTAGTCGTTGATTAATCGATTAATCAATGCAGCCCTATCAGAAAGTTTAATTTATTCAGGAGCTATAACTTTTACTTTTTGTAACTTCTATACTTTTCAAAATATCTAACTTAATTAACAAATATTTTCTCATGTAAATACATTGAAACTCTCAAGTCCTTCCAAAACATTGTTCTCTTTGAAATCGGCGTACTTGCTTTAGCTAGCCTTTCAAGTCTCGCTTTTACCTCGACTTGTTTGGCTATTAGCTGGTGCTCTGCTTCTTCTCTCTTTGACAACTCGTTTTAAGCTTCTGCATCAAATGTCGGCTGTCATTGAGCATTCATTGTGGTTTCACAGAAATTAGATTGTTTTTTTGTTTTGAGTCGAATTTTATGCCTAAACATGTTCTGTGACCGATGTAACGTGGTAGTTATCTTGTTTCGTCTGTGAGGTTTTAATTTACAGTCCTATAAGATAAGAAAAGAAAAGATAAGACAAGAAAAGGTAAGAAAAAATAAGATAAGGTAAGATAAGCCTTTATTGTCATTGTACAGAGCACAATGAAATTACAGTTTAGAACACCCATTCACAGGAAGACAGAACATAACAAACATAAGAAATAAAATAAAGAAATAAATTCACTTCTTGATCGCTGTGCATCTTTGTTGTCACGCAGGCGATGAGAGCAACCGGCAGGTCGTCATGCGCATCCTGTACCACATCAGCATGGACGACCGCTTCAGAGGCATGTTTGTTTACACTGAGTGCATCCCTCAGGTACAATAAGGAGCCGTTAAATTCCTACTTATCCTCAGTGTCAGACCCTGAGGTGAAAATCTGCTTCTGTTTGGGTTTAGCTAATGCAAATGCTGTATGACCACGGTGGGGAGGAAATTGAAGCTGAGCTCCTGTCCATCTGCATCAACTTGGCTGCAAACAAGAGGAATGCACAACTCATGTGTGAAGGTGGTGCACCAGTTGATCTTTTATCAGTTAAAACACAGACAAACCTGGAATCTGTTAGCTCCTGGTTCTGAACTGGTTCTGTTTTATTTTGTGCAGGAAATGGACTGAAAATGCTCATGAAGAGAGCTCTGAAGACAAAAGACTGCCTCTTGATGAAGATGATCAGAAACATCTCGCAGCACGACGGCCCAACCAAACCGCTCTTCATAGTAAGTTACAGAGCACACATTGAGAAGAGTGCAGGTATTTTTTAATTTGCAAAACAACATATATTTTTTAAGGTTTTTAAGTGTTCTCTCTCAGGACTACGTAGGTGACCTGGCTGCTGAGATCCGTGCTGAAGAAGAGGAGGAGTGGGTTCTGGAGTGTCTGGGTACAATGGCCAACCTCATCATCCCTGACCTGGACTGGGAGCTGCTGCTGAAGGAGTACAACCTGGTGCCTTTCCTCAAAGACAAACTCAAACCAGGTGCTGGCTAGACTCGAATAAACAGAGCTGACATCAGGGGAAATTAAAAATATTGACGTGTACAGCAATAGATTTGTATGATAAATCTGTTTATATTTAATTTGAGCAATGTTTCATAAGTCTCGATTATAAAGATGGGAAATCGTTAAGAAAAGTAGATGACAAGCAATTTACCACCACTGGCCAGTTAATTTTTGAAAGACAGTGTAATTACTGATACTAATTAACCCTCCTGTTATGTTCGTTTCTGAGGAATAGCAATAATGTTCCTGGGTCTGTTTGACCCGGGGCGTGTTTAATCGTGCTATAGTGTCTAATAT